CCACCAGACTGACAGACTTTCTTGCCAATTCCAACCATGCTTCCCAACCATTATTTATTTCCATTTGAAGAAACTTCATCCTACTTCTCTCACTCCCTGCCTTTCCACTCTCACTCCCCTGCTTTACCCCCAGGGTAGAGCTGACCCCCTTCCCCATGTTCCTTGCAATCCCATAGGCCCTCTCCTACAGAGGGGCTGTAGCTGTCACTCTCTCCCCTCAACACCCCCCCCCCCGCACCTAACTCTCCCTAAGAAACACAATATTACATTCAAAAGAACCTTAGAAAAAGAAAGACCCTCTATCCTCACCTCATTATCAAAAGGTAATGCCAGAGGACATCCTTAAGCACTGTCCAACTAGGGACACCTGCTGGCTTAGTAGAGCTTGCATACTAGTCAGATACTTTATCCTCCACTTGGGTGGCCAAGATGGCACCTGGCTGCTTTGGGGAAGGCCCCAGTCCTAACCTAAGAAAAGTAGTTGGAAGATTCCCAAGAAGGTGCTCTCAGGAAAGTAACATAGTAGACAAGAGTTGTACTTAAAAATCATAAAGATTACAGCCTCATCAGAGATAACTCAGCTGCTTGAAGTCACATTGAAAAGTCTTCTCAACAGCACTTTCAGTAGATTGGAACCAGTCCTTTACCATAGAAAGACTACTAATTTTGTAAATCTGAAGAGTTTCTTTACAGTTCTGGTGACATCCAAAATGTCACTCGAGGATTCCTAGGTAGAACATTTATGCAAATGAAGCTCCCTCTGTATCCCTTTTTCCCTTTTTCTCACTAGATAGGAGTAAAGAACATCTTCTCCTCTGCAGCTTTTGTGCATCTGGACTTGTGTGTAAATTTGATATGCAGATGAAGGAGATTGGTCACTGTTCCTCTCCTAATCACCAACAAATGGAAGTAGAGAGCTTGCTCACCTTCTGGAGCTTCACAACAAAGGGCTTATATTCTACTTTAATCTTCTTTATAAGAAGAACAATACTTGTCTGTAAAATCATGCCTTGCAGTGGTACTGGACTGGATGATGCTGTAGCACTTAAAAACAGCTCAACAGCTCATGGTAATGATTTTGAAGTATTTATTTTCCGCATCATGTAGAATTATGTTCAGTGAAAATGATATAAATGTAAAATACCAGATCGTATATCATTTCCACAAAATGTTACAACTGTTCTGTTATGTAATAGTGAGTTAATAATGCCAACTAAAACTCACTATATCATTCTTTACATGAAGTCACCTCATTTATCCTTTTCCCCCTTTAGCTAAATATCATCTCTATTTCCACATTTACCCTCCAAAAATATCCCTAACACAAAATATTCCTAGCATACTTCATAGTTTACAGTGCGAATTAAACAATCCAAAATAAGAGGGTCTGGAAAACTGGACTGAAATATCAAGAGAACAGGCTCTGTCAAGAGCTTTCTAGTATTTCTTGCCTCTAGCTGAGATGGAAATATTCAAAGGGTGTAATCTTGGCTCCACTGAAGTCAATGAGAATGTTGTCACTTAGGTCAATGGAGCTAGAATTTCACTCCAGATATTTATGCAATTATGTTTCCAATCTCAGCTAGAACTCCAGTGATGTGAAAATGAAAATGGATTTTTTCAAAAAAAATTAATGTTAAGAAAAAGTTCAGTTAGGCTCAAGCTTTAGGTAAATGGAAAAGATTCCATATTCTCCAAGTGATCTCCTTTTACTATCTGAGTAATTGTACACTGAAAAATTTTGGTAGTTTAGCTAAGTACTCCAGATATATGATGGAAAGAAAAAGAAAGGTGTCTGCATGCAATAATTATGAAACTATATGGTCTCCTTTTAATCAACATGTTCTCTAAGGTTAGAGACAGACATTCAAAAAGCCTGAGCCTGAATTGATTTAGTCTTTGCAGGTTAGTTTAACCTGCAGAGAATGAACCAGTTTGCAAGTGGATAGATGTTCAGGACATGCCTGCAGTGGCTCAAGCCAGAAGCTCAGGGGTTCTAAAGCAGCCCTCCCTTCCACAGGGAAACTGAGCTGAGGAGGGAGGGTGTAGCCAGTCCCTGCAGGCCTGCCCCAGAAGATCCCTGACATCTGGGAGCAATAGAGGCACACAGGACTGCCCAGTCCCAGAGGGGAATTCTTTCTCCTTCTCCCTGTCCTCCACCACCATGGAGCCAGGAGGGGGACCCAGTTCAGTGCTGGGGTGGGGGGCTCTTATTCCTCCTCCTCTCCCTCCTGCGGTGGGGAGACGGGGCTCTGTGAGGCTGTCTGGCCCTTGAGGACATGGGTGACTGGCACTGCCTTAGTCGGGGAGGCACATGTCCCCCCTGCAACCAGTCCCGCCAACTGGGGAGGGGGGGTCCCCAGTGTCAGATTTCACTGCCTGGCCCCCTGTGGCCAATCCCACAATGGCCGATCGCTGCAGCTGCTTCTGGGAGTGGCTGCAGCTGCTTCTGGGAGTGGCTGCAGTGATTGGCTGGCCCTTGCATGAGGGACACCGGCACTCCTGCCTGCCCCACCACCCATCCCTTAAGCAGCGAGTGCAGCTGATCAGGGCATGCATGATGCTCTCAGGGGGTGCATGTGCACCCCCATGCATTGTCACTGACAGAGGGGGACTCTTCCCTCTGCTTCTCCCCCATCACTGTGGGGTGGGGAGGGCAGGGCTCTCTGCTCCAGTTGCAGGGCTGACCCACCCCTCTGCTGTGTAGCTGGAGCAGGGACTGCCTCTAGCAGAGATGCTGGCTGGTTTGACCCTATTAAGGCCAAGTGGGCAGGGAGGGGGTTAATTCCTTCCTCTTTCCCCTCTTCTCCCACTGCAGCCATGGTCAACCTGTCTGCTGGGGAGCAGAGAAGAGGGGGTTGCAGCAGTGGCCCCTGGAGATGGCAGACTCTGGCTGCAGGGAAAGGATGCAGGGAGGAATTAACTCTTCTCCCTGCCCCCTTCACCTTAACAAGGCCATGCTGGATAGGTTGTCCCACAGGGTGGGAGTGGGGGATCTATTCCATGATGGGGGAACAGAGCAGCCCAGCCCCAGAGTGAGGCTCTTCCTTCCATTCCTCCCCCCCAGGGCAGGGGAAGCTCTGTTCCATGCTGGGGGGAACTCTTCTCCCTCCTCCTCCCAAAGGGGCAGTGGGAGCATGGAGCTCAGGTGGGGAGGGTGGGAGGTATAGGGACCTCGACACACTCCTCCCATGGCGGGCAGCTCCCATTGCCTGACAGCAGCAGCAGCAGCAGGTAGGGATGTCAGGGCCTGTGCAGGCATGGTTCCAGCCAGCCCTCACAGAGGGGGAAGCCCCACACAGAGCCAGCTGCTTCCCCTGCTCCCCAATGTGCAAGTCCCTCTGCTGGGAGTGGAGGGAGCCCCACCCCCTGCTTCTGCATAGTCTGCCAGCTCCAGGGGCTGCTGCTGTAGCCCTCTCCCCTCTACTCCCCAGCAGACAAGCTGACCATGGCTGCAGTTTGGGGATGAGGGGAAGGAGGGAAGAATTAACCCTCTCCCTGCTCACTTTGCCTTAACAGGGCCATGCTGGCCAGTGTCTCTGCAAGGGCCAGTTCCTGCTCCAGCTAGAAAGCAAAGGGATGGGCCAGCTCTGTGGCTGGAGCTAAGATCTCCACCCAGCCTAGAGATCATGCTGAGATGCTGAGGGAGTCTGGTTTATCTTAAACTAGCATGGGGTCTAGGACAGACATTGCATAAACTGGTTTGAGCCAAATCAATTAAGTCTGATATACTACATTTAACTAGGTTTATCTCAAACAGGTTTTGGCCCTTTTGAAACTGGTTTATGTGCACTGAACATCTGTTCTGTTACAGGTTTAAACCAGATTCTGATCACTTTAATCAGTTTATGTGTAATGGCTGTCCCTAGCCCAAGTAAACTGTAAACTTCAGTCAATATCAAGAGATCAAACAGTCTGATGCTGAAATGCTTTGCAGCTGGTAGGAGAGGAATGGTGCAAGTGTGGCACATTTTGCTTTCTGCTTTCCTAATGGGATTCTCCCAGTGCAGGTTTTCACTGTAGGCAACATAGGGTTTGCCTATTTCCTTTAAATCAGATTCAGTATAATTTTACCTACTTTTGCATAAAGCTTCTAAACATGACTCCTTGGGTCAGTTTTATCAACCTACTTGTTGGCATTTTCTGGGATCTTCCATGAGCTGGCTCATAACTTACTGCTAATTACAGTCAATAAATAAGGGTAAACAGCTTTTTTTTTTTCAAACTAATTCTGTTTCTGCGCAGTGAAACCATCCATCTACTTTTAAACAAATAAATTGGTTTTAATTATATAAGGCCAAATGATGACAGATACTAAAAGCAAGCTTCCAATTCTGAATCCCTCACTTCTGCAGATGGATGTGCTTTGTAGTTAATTCAGGAACTGCTTCACCTTTTTTCTCACCCTGTAAGGCCAAATGCATATTTGATAATTATGAGTATTTGTATCAAGCCTTACTCTTAGCTCTTTGTTAGAAGCAAGAAGTTTTCTGCTAGAGCAACAACAATAAAACAAGTAGTCTTTAATCCACTGCTATTCAACTGTATCTTTGCTGGAAATGAGCCCTGCAATTCACCACTGCAAAGACTCCAGCATGTTCAGTCATTCTGTAGAAAGTACTGCCTAGTATAAATAGTTTCTACCTGGTTTCTAAGAGCCAAGTCCTAGAGAAGGAGCACACCATTGATAAAAAAAATAACTTCAGTTTATGAAAACATGTTGATACTCAGGTACAGAGGGAAGGCCATGAAGGAAGCATAGTCCACCACTTCCTCCCATGTGGGATTTGGCACAGTGACTTGGGCCATTCATATACTGATAGTCCACACCCCTGGCTCACCCACAAATCTCCTCCTGCCATCTTCTGCAAAGGCATAACAGAAACCTGCCACTGTGATCTCTATAGCAACTTGTGGTTTCTCTGTACACAGATGCTACCTCTGCTGCAACCCCTTTACCCCATTAAAACACATCATGCATTATTATGCTAAAAAGCTGAGCTCAACAGAGGATCAGATGTTCAGTTAATGAAATTGGTTGTTACCGTTACATCATTAACCAGGTAAGTATGTTTGAGAGGGTTGTATCAAGTTATTCCTGGATTATTTCTATTGTTAGAATCACTTTAATTTATTTAACATTAAGTGTCTCATTTAATCGTCTACTAAAGATACAGAAAATGAAGGGGAAAAACAGTTAAAGCATTAGAAATGTACCTTTTTAGGCAAGACCTTCAGTTCAATAGTAGTTCTCATTGCTCCATTTAGCTGTTTAGGTTTGTTAAAGGGGAAGTCTGTTAGCCTCTCAGAAAGTAATTATCTGTCCTTCTTGAAGAAACGAAAATGTTATTTGAGATGGTTTAGAGCAGGCACTGCTGTTGAAGTCCATTCTGTGTTTTTTAAAGATAAAACAACAGAAAAGGGAAAAGGAAAGAGAACAGCAAGATGGAAAAGGCAGCTTCTGTTTCTTGTGCTGGCAATCATTTGCAACTGTACACCGAAGAAATACAGGACCAGCTCACACAGACCTGTCAGCAACTTGGGAACCTGACAAACTTCTACCATTGTCAGTCAATGTAAGATATTGTTTTCAGATGCATTTTTGATCATGGGTTCATAATAGCTGGGTAAAAGGCTGAATGATCTTGACCATGTTCATGATCTAGTAGGTGTTCAGTGTTTTGCTGAAGATAGTGAAGATGATGATGTTATCTGGGTCCCTCTCTTCCAGGCTTTGTCTGGTCAGTCCAAATCTCAGAGTGTCGAAGGTCCAGTGGTATGATGATGGATTCTGGGTCTCGAGACATGATCAAGGTAGCAGCTATAATGACAAACCACTCTTCTCACAATGCATGTCTCATTTAGTGACCTCCACAAAAACAATGTCCAAGAAGGGGTTGCAACTTTACCCCATTAATATTTAAAGTGAATTTTACTGATTTAAATTATAAACATTTCCTCCTATTTCTAGAATATTGAAGCTTGTTAAAATAAGCTATTGCTGTTCCAACAGCCTTGAAGACCCCTAGCTGTCATTCATTTTCTTACCTCTGTAGTATGGGGTATGGCTGTCCCACCAGGATCACCATCACAGAGATTTCAGGCTTTTGTGACATCTTGACCTCTTTTGTTTTCAGTCTGTGACATCCAGGTATGTATTTCAGAACTGAAATGTTTGGCCTAACTAAATTCATTGGGTTTGATACAGGTTTTTGATTGAAACTTAATGGTTTCTGCCTTGTGATCTACATAAAAACAGTAGAAAAATAATATTATGATTTAATTTTGATGAAACTATCATTGATGTTTCCAAAAAGACACCATGTGGTCTGTCAACACTACATTAGCATGACTACTGCTTTGTAACACAAGAACTGTAACAATGTACTATTGCAATGTATCTTCTTGTCCTACAGTGTAACTGCATTCATATTCACTTGAATAATGAGTCGTCATGTGGGAAGTATTTTCATTATTACTTGACGTTCCAGCATTGGAGTTTCCTGGCCAAAATACAGCCTAGTGCATACCAGCTGTCTGTCTCATTCTCCTTCATTTAATTTTTGTTGTTGTTTTTTCAAAGTGCTCATTGAGGTGACAAGAGTGAAAGCGATGGATAAATGCAAGTTTGAATATCTTTATTTCAAGATGACACTAATAGCTTCTAAGAATTCTTCTTTGCTGTACTTCAGATAAGAGTGGTGAGCCTGTAAATTCATTAGTGGGTAATGGAGCAACTTCACTTTATCTATGTCTCTTCACAGGGCTAGGGTTTTCATTCCGTGCCAGGAGTCATACATCACACTCAACATGTACGTCTCTAGAGCCAACTGAGAGAGAGTGCAGAAAAACTACTGTTAACAAGGGAGTAATTACATTCAGCATAAATTAATTATTGGTCACTCAGGACTGGAGGGAAAGGGCCACACAGACTGTATCTGACTGAGTTTCCACCTTTGAGGAAAGAAATATTCAAATATGAATCATAAGACAATATGAGATGGGCTCTTTCTGGTCTACTGATCTTTAACTTCACATATTTGCTAAAATGACATGTGGCTTATTTGCTTTAACACTATAAGTACATTGTTGTTCCTTTCTTTTTTCTTTAGGGCTCACATGAATGATGTTCATTTGGGACAAGGGTCATTCACAGCAGCCAGTATTAAGCCCAGTAAAGTGAAGCCAAGGGGGGCTTTAAAATGTAATTCAGCCAAAAGAACAGGGCACGGATCACTGGGCAGGTGATAGAAGGTGTTCATGAGGAATTTAGATTACCACATAGAGCAAATAAACCCTGAGAAATGGTGCAGTTAGAGACTAGTGAAATCTGGTAAATGAGAAGAGCAGAATTCGTTCCTAGTGAAAAGGAAGACGTACGATACACCTTGATCTCTCTGCTGGGAAAGTTAGCATTGGCTCATTGGTTCAGCTGCAGTGTAACTCTGAGACCCATACATGTGTAGGACTTTCATTGTAACTAACGTTGAATGGCATGGAGCCACATACACTCCTTCAAGGCTAGTTTCCAGATAACTAATCAGTAGATTTAAACCCCTAATTACTTTTTTAATGTTAAAATTGTACTAGGCACTGACAAAAATGAAAAGTCAAATTTAAAGCCAATCCCCCATAAATTATGACTTTTGCTGTTGTGGAAAATGAAAAGGAATACCGAGATGCAAGTGACGGATGTACGGTCAGCTAAGAACCTCTGCTCGGAATGTCCTGGCTTTTATTGTTCTCATTCAGTTCACTCTTCCTAAAAACAACGTGGTTAGAGAACTGTGGTTCATTCTATAAGTTCTCTCACTATGCATTCAGATTTGTGTACATCTCTTAGGATCAGCTACAAATGTAAGTTAAGCATATTTTTAAAGAGTTTTTATTATTCATTGAGTGCCAACAAAGCATTCACTCAAGCACAGAGCTAGGTGGAAAATAGTGTTCCTATCCCATTAAATTCTGAGATTTCAAAAATTTTCCCATTTTCTTCAGGACAAACTGACTTACTGTAACTTTTTCATTAAAGAAATCAACCCTCTGTCAAGATGGCACATTCCCTAAAATAATGTCCTAGTGATCAGACACTCACCTGAGACTTGGAAAACTCAAGGTTAAATCCCTATACTGCAAGATTCAGATCAGAGACCTGAATCCAGGTCTCCTCCATCCCAGGCAGGTGTCCTAAGCACCACATTATTCTAGAGCACAGTCTCTCTCATTCTTTTCATTGGACCTAAAATTCCATCAAAGACCTAAGATACCTTGCTAATGAAAATGTGGATGTAACATATGCTTTTATAAAAAGTTTTGTGGCAGTCGAGTGGTAGGCCGGGCTGTGGCCAGTAGCCCCGAAACGGCAGGCGGGTACTTTTACTGATGGAGCGGAATTAGGCACTGAAGCGTACTGGTTGAACAAAGAGATTGTTTACTTACGCCATTGGTGTATACAGCGTAGGAAGAGTTGACTAGCGTAGTTGCAGTTACAAACGCAGAAAAGACACTCTCAAAGACGCGAGAGAAACGAGATGAGACGAGAAGAAATTTCTGTAACCGGCTTACGGCGGTACCGGGGTCGGGGGTACGTCGGGACAGTCGAGGACGGGGAGTCGTTGGTGGGTGATCAGTCCGCCAAGTTCACTCCGAGATGTGCGCGGAGTTCTCCGACTTGGGCGGAAACTGCTTTAACTTTTATATGACTAACAAGCCAATCACTAGTTGCCAAATATGAATAATTTGGAACTGGCCAATGATGGTGTGTGTGTTTGCATAAAGCTGGCAGGAACTTTTCACTGCACCGGGGTTTTCTACCGTGGTGGAAAATTCCACTGTGGCGGGAAACCCCACAGCGTTATGGACATCAAATCAATGAAACCTTCCACTGTGACATAGGCACTCAACTCATTTGGTTATGACAAGTTTCAGTTGTGACAAACCAGCATATATCAATGGAAAATCATTTAGTTAAAACATTCCAAGCCAAGTTTAGTTCTGCACTGTAGAAAACAGTGCACCCTCAGTAGGTCCCAGTACAGATGTTCTTGAACCTGCTGTGCCCACCAGAAATGACCTGAGCAGGGTGTGGGGACCGGGGCAAATCAGCCCGTGCAGGGCCTGGCCACAGATGCAAGGAAACTGGTGGCAGATTTGGCAGTGAGGGGGAGGGGTGAGTGCTGAGCGGCTGGAGGTGCCGAATTTGGTGGCGGGAGGGAGAGTGGGGGCTGAGTGGCCAGATGTGAAGCTGGCAGCAGCACAGAGTCGCTGCAGCTGCTCCACCTAGCTCCATGGGGCCCCCCCAAAGTGCAGGACCCAAGGTGGTTGCCCCAATTTGCACCCCGCTAGGGACAGCCTTGGTGCCCAACCACATCCATTTACAGATGGCAAACCTAGAAACTAAATAGAGAAACTACTCTAGGGTCATGCATAGCAGCCATTCTCAAGCATGCTGGAAAACAAGCTCTCAAACAAGCCAGAGCAAAGTGCTTCCAGAGTGGCTTCACCAGGCATTTCCATGTGTGGCACATACAAATGAGAGCAGTTGGACGGGGATACAATGCAGATATACCTTTAGGGCACCTGTACACGTGCCAGACATCTGCACTGATGCATGCTAACTAATGTGATTAATTCATTAATTGAGTCTGCTGGAGTGTGCTAATTAACTTACTCCAGCAGTTTCCGTGTCACATTTTTTCTTTGCCCCCATGTTTCAAAATGGTGGCAGAGGCATTTTAACTAAAGTTTGTCTAAGAAGCTTTAGTTCAAGCACCCCCACTGCCATTTTGAAGCATGGGACACTGAACACACATGACGCTGCAGGCACTTTAATTAAAGTGTCCCCTCCTCCACCCGGGAGCACATGTATAGATATCCTTAGATTTCAAGGACTGACCCTGCCAGATGCCAAATTTTCATTTATGGAGATTATAGGATCCTAGGAAAGCAGGGCTAGAAAGGATCTCGTGGGCTAGTACAGACGATCAAAAAGCCCGAGGCTGAATTGATTCAGTCTTTGCAGGTTAGTCTAAACTGCAGAGATTAAATTGAAAAAGAAGTGAACAGTCATTTACTCGGCTCAGGCCAGAAGCTGGGGGGCACTACAGCACGGCTCTCTGGCATGTAGCCAGTAGGGGCTGTGTGTTTGCTTCCTCTTCCTGCTGTCCCCGAGGTCTCTGGGATTTGCAGTCCAAAGTCACAGTACCAGGACTTTTCAGGGTTGCTTATCACTTCCTCTTCCTGCTTCCAGGTGCCTCTGGGATTTGTAGTCCACAGTCGCAGCCAGCAGTAAATTTCAGCAGGGGAAGATGTGTTTAACCCCACTCCCTGGCCCTGGACCCCAGGTGGGGTTTGCCGGGGGTAGGCAGCTCCCTCCCCCTCCCAACTGGGCTGCATCCCCAGCTGGGATTGTCCCCCCCTCTACTTCCTTATCAGCCAGCCCTTACTGCTACAGCTAGGGAGCAGAGGGATGGGGCCAGCCCTGCTCTCTGGAGTAGACAGGACAGCCCAGCCCAGCCCAGAGGTGCAAAGCATGCTGGGATGCCGGGAGACTGTGATTTAACTTGAAACAGGAAGGGGTCTGGGACAGAAGTTTCATAAACTGCTTTGACCCAAATCAGTTAAGTTTGATACTACATTCAACTAGAGTTATCTTAAACCAGTTTCAGCCATTTTGAAACTGGTTTATGTGCACTGAGCTTCTGTTGTGTTACAGGTTTAAACCAGTTTCTGATCACTTAAACTGGTTTATGTGTAACTGCTGTCCCTAGCCATGGGGTCATTAAGTGTAGCCCCTTGCTTAAGGCAGGATCATCCTTTACTAAACCATCCCAGTCAAGCATCTGTCCAAATTGCTCTTGCAAATTTCCAGGGATGGAGGTTTTACAACTTCTCTAGGTAGCTTGTGCCAATGCTTGATCACCCTCATAATTAGGAAGTTCTTCTTAATCCTCAAGCTGAATTTCCTCTCCTGCAGTTTGAAGCCATGACTCCTACTCCTGTTGGCTATAGCCACCAAGAAAAGGCTATCACCATCCTTTTTCTAATAACTCTTCAAGTATTTGAAGACTGTTATCAAATCCACCCTGTCTTCTCTTCTCCAGACTAAATAACCCTAATTCTTTAAGCCTTTCCTCACAAATCA